GCTCTCCCTAAACAACCACTTTTCATCTCACCCTTTGAACTCATGTACGGGCGGCCGGCTCTAACACCTGGCCTCTCACCTAAATCCTTGCCTCTCCCTGACCGCTTGCTCACACCTTTACTTCATCATCTCCGTTCCTGATAAATAAACTCCACGTGGGTTGCTTATTCGTTGTTCCTTTCTTTATTAGCAGCTGCAGCTTAAACAAAAGAACAACAGTTTCTCTTTTGGAGGCTGTCCTGGAACTAGCGCTTGTAGACCAGGTTGGTCTCAACTCACAGAGGTCCACCTGCCTCTGCCTCCCAAGTACTAGGATTAAAGGTGTGTGCACTCGGGAGGCAGAGGCAGGTGGATCTCTGAGGTCAAGGCCAGCCTGGTCTCCAGAGCAAGTGCCAGGATAGGCTCCAAAGCTACAGAGAAACCCTGTCTGGAAAAACAACAGCAACAAGGAGGAGGAGGAGGAGGAGGAGGAGGAGAAGAAATTCCTTTAAAAGAATTTTTTTTTCTTATTTTTTGAGACAGGGATTTTCTGTTCAGCCTTGGCTACCCTGGAACTCCCTCTGTAGACTAGACTGGCCTCAAACTCAGAGATCTGCCTGCCTCTGCCGTCTAAACACTGGGATTAATGGTGTGTGTCATCATGTTAAACTAAAAGTTAATTTGTGTGTGTGTGTGTGTGTGTGTGTGTGTGTGTACACAAACATGTCCGTCTGTGTGTATGCTACGGTATGGGTAGGTTGCCCACAGAAGTTAGAAGGAAGCATCAGATCTCTTGGAGCAGGAGTTACAGGCAGCTGTGATCCCCAAACATGGGTCCTGGGACCTGAAGCCAGGTCTTCCACAAGAGCAGTGAGTGTGAGTGTGTGAGAGACAGAAGTGTGTGAAGAAAACTAACAGAGGAGCTGGAGAGAGATGCTCAGTGGTTAAGAGCACCTACTGAGTGCTAGTCTGCACGCAGGTGCCAAGGACCCCTTTAAAGACAGACCCCGCCCACTCACGCCCTTTAACAAACTCTTGGTTCGTGTCCCATCGCGCCGGGAAACTTGAGCAAAGAATGACAGCGCGGCTGGGCCACCTGCCGCCAACCCCACGCTCCGCGACGTCTGGGACGCGGCCCGAGCACGCACAGAAGCGGCTCAGAGCCCGGGCCTGCAGCTGGGAGGCATCCTCGGCTGCCCGGCAGCCCAGGCGCTGGCCTCCGGTGCCCTGCACTCCGCCCTGCTGCACCCCAACTCACCCCGCGCCCCGCTCGGAGGAGTCCGCCATTTTCCCGCCTTCCACTCAAAGACCAGCTTCTCAGGCTCCGCCCGCCGGCCGGCCGGCCCGCTAGGAGGCAGGGACGGGAGGTGCTGTCTGCTCGGCGCGTGCCGGGTCGGCGAGCGCCTAGCTCGTCCTTAGTTGGTAGCGCTCCGCAAAGGGCGGTGCGAGCGGGCGTGGCTTCCGGCCCCACTCGGAGTCGCGGGCGGGGAGGGGGCGTGGCTATCGTAGCGCCCCGCCTCTTTCGGCTTTACGGAGCTCGGAAACAGGAACCCGCCAACGGCAGGGGGCGGCCGTGACGTGCCCTCCGATGGGCCGTGGTCTCGTGGCGCTCCGCCTCTCCGACGCGCTGGCGCTCCGCCCTCATAGCGCCTCCGGAACCCGGAAGTGGGAGCGTGCGGGGGAGCGGCGGGGGGGGCGCGTCGGGGCGGGGCGGCCTGGAGCAGC